GTTAGAATGCAGTATTGCAGGCTAGCTCTGCCCACAGCTAGGAAGTTTGATCCTGACTGCCTCAAAGTCAACTCAACCTTACATCCTTCCGAGGTCGGTAAAATGAGGGCCTAGATTATTGGGCAATAGGCTGACTCTGTAAGCTGCTTACAGAGGGTTGTAAAAGACTAGGAAGTCATATTGAAACCTAAGTACTATTCCTAAAATTAAACAATTCCCACATGGTCAGTTGTTTTCTTAGAGCTCATATCCTACTTTCCCATTTTCTCCTGCTACTTCTCAGAACTGGACATCGTGCTTTCCTTAAAGGACTAGCAAAGACGTCTGTTTTGATTTTATCTTGTAGGAAGACAAACAAATCTCTGAGCCTTAGTTTGCCTTTGCGATTCTCCTTGAAGCACCTTTTGAAATGGGAAGACTGTTGCGTTTGCGAAACCCCCGAGAAGACAAGGGTCTCCTGTGGCTTTTAAATGATCTATAAGGGCAAAGACAGTTATTACTCAACTGGCAGTGACACATTAAAAAAAAAATCCTGTAAAACAAAACATCCTGAGGTTAAAAAAAAAACTGGCTGTAAAAAAATAAATAAAAATAAACCCAAACAGAGACATTCCTATAATTGGCAGTTCACAGTCCTGTTCCTATTTTACCTGAAATTAAGCTGTCAGTGGATTGCCAAGGACACCTATATAAGTGTTACCGGGTTATTAGCTTACCCTGAAAGTCACCCTACTGTAACCTGTTTCCCAGATGTTTCTTAGCACCATTTCTACCCCATCATTTCCAACCTGCACGGCCGCTGAAATTTCATAGATCCATTCGTCAACCCTGAAAAATCCACATTTTTTTTAAAAAAACAAAAAGCTAAAGTTGGTTTTTGTCGACATTTACAAACGTTTCTATGTATACAGAACTATCTTTGTGTGCCAGCATAGAGGAAGATGGATTTGCATCGAGTGATGCAGATACAGCTATATCCACTTTCTTTCGGTAGCGTGTGCACTGGCTCTAAAATTTCCACAGTTATACCTGGAAAAGGCCACTTTTTTTAAAGAAAAAAATCAGAGGTGGTATTCAGCAGGTTCTGACCAGTTCTGGAGAACCAGTAGCAGAAATTTTGTCTAGTTCGGAGAACTGCCAAATACCATCTCTGACTGGAGATTTTACAGATCTTTCCCCTGCCACGCCCACCAAGCCACGCCCACAGAACCGGTAGTAAAAAAAATTCAATCCCCCCACTGTTTTAAATATATATGCATAGTCAATTTTTGGGCTGCAAACTATACTGTAAAATTCAGAAAAGAGCAAAATCTGAAGAGTGATGCTGTTATGGTCTTCATTACTAATCTTAAAAATGCAAACTAGGATGATTCTGTTAAAAATGAAGATTTTTTAAAAAAACTACATCTCTTTTACAGAAGAGTACTAAAACACCTCCCTACAGTCCTGTTCTGTATTAGCATTCTTGGAAAACCCGCACCCTGATTGGCCCACCTGAACTGAAGCCCGATTGGCTGACTGACTGGCCGGGATTGGAGCGCTAGGAACTACCGCGATTGGCCGAGCCGATCGCGGGAAATTCGAAGCGCTGCCATTGGCCGCCGAGCCGCCGGCCGGCTGTATAAAGCCAAGCGGTTTTACACAGTTGCTTTTGTCCATAACCAGAGCTGAATAAAAAGAGCTGAATGTTCACTAAGTGTCTCGCCTCTTTTGTGACCCGATCCCGGATCTAACACTGGCGACGAGGGTGGGATCGTGAGGCGAGGACCAACTAGCACATGGCACCGGTGACCAGCGCCTACAAGATGGCCAGTACCGTGCCACCCGCTCCATTCGACCCAGCGACCGAAGACTGGGAGTCCTATATTGACCGCTTCCAGATGTTTCTGGAATGCAGTAACCTCAAGGACGCCAACGGCCAGAGGAAGCGGGCAGTATTCCTAACGCACTGCGGGGCCGCGGTGTTCAAAATGGCCAAGGCACTTGCGAGGCCCGCAAACGTTAAGGAGATGGATTGGGCTGATCTCGAGCCCATCCTGCGCCGCCATTACGCCCCCACCGTGCCGATCCTCATCCGCAGGTATGATTTCTACCGCCGGGACCAGCGCGAAGGCGAGTCCACCAGCGATTTTGTGGCCCAGCTGCGGAACATGGGAGGCCCCTGCGAGTTCCCCGAGCTGGACCAAGCGATCCGGGACCGACTCGTCCTTGGACTCCGAGACCCCGTGCTGCAGAGCCGGCTGATGGCCAAAGGCAACATCTCCCTCGCCGATGCCCTCGCCGAGGCCACCGCCGCCGAGGCCACCCGCCAGTCCGCAGCACGGATGAGACAAACCAACGCGCCGGAACGGCCACCCACCAATGAAGCGACCCCAGCCGCCGCGAAGCCCCGGGACACCAGCCAGTGGGAGACGACCGCGCACCATGGCGACCTCGAATCCCAGCCTGATACTGAGGATGAGGACGAGGAGATCCATCAGTTGCAGACCGAACGTGATCGCCGAGACCACCAGAGTCGTAAGTCGGGGTTCCGGTGCGCCGGTTGTGGCGGCGATCACCCCCGCTCCGAATGCCGCTTCCTCGACGCCATTTGCAGGCATTGCGAGAAGCGGGGGCACATTGCCAAGGTGTGCTGAAACAAGAAGAGCTACAGCCCGCAGCGCCGAGGCGACAGCCCACGACGATGGGACGGCACCCCACCCAGACACCGAGACCGACCCACGGAGAGCCGGTGGAGCCGCGACAACTGGAGCCGACAACTCAGCGAGGCGCAGCGGCGCGAAGAAACCCATCAGACGGTCGTCATCGGCCATTCATCAACCACCGACGCCCGGAAGGTACACGTGGCCTTGAGCATCGAGGACCGGCCCTGCGAGATGGAGGTGGACTCCGGGTCCTTCCTCTCAATGGTCTCATGGCGCACAATCAAGCGCCTGGTCCCGACCATCCGCCGCAACAAGCTGGACGACCAGAAGCTAATCCTGAAAGACTACCAGGGAAATCGCATCCCTGTAGTTGGCATCGGGCACTTCAAGGTAACGTTCAAGAACCACACTGACGTCCTGCCGCTCACGATAGTGGACCGGGACCGCCCCAGCCTGCTCGGCCTACAATGGTTCGCCCCGCTCGGCATCGAAGTAACCGGCATCCACCGCACGGACACGGCCGACTGGGAAGTGACCCTCGTGAGGGATTTCCAGGAAGTTTTCGACAACTCGCTAGGCAAGTACCGTGGGCCCCCTATATCGTTCAACCTTAACCCCAATGTCGCCCCTATCCGCCTAAAGCCCCGGCGAGTGCCCTTTGCGCTCAAACCAAAAATCGACGAGCAACTAGACAAGCTCGTCGCACAGGGGGTGCTTGAACCCATCGACCATGCCCGTTGGGAGACGCCCATAGTCACCCCCATCAAGCCCGATGGCTCCATTAGAATATGCGGGGACTATAAGGCCACCCTTAATCACGCGCTACAGCAAAGCGCCTACCCCGTCCCAGTGGTGCAGCACCTCCTGCACTCACTGGGGGGAGGCCGGGTCTTCGCAAAACTCGACTTGGCACAAGCCTACCAGCAACTGCCGGTCGACGCGGAGACAGCAGAAGCGCAAACGATTGTCACACACCGGGGGGCTTTTCGTTGCAACCGACTCCAATTCGGAGTCAGCGTCGCCCCGGGAGTCTTCCAAAGCCTCATGGAGAGGCTCCTCCAGGGCATCAAAGGGGTGGTTCCCTACTTTGACGACGTGCTGATCGCAGCCGCCGACAGAGAACAATTGGAGATCCGTTTAAGGGCGGTGCTTAACAAATTCAAAAACGCCGGCCTTAAAGTCAAAAGGGACAAATGCCAACTACACACCAAGAGGGTCGAGTTCCTGGGCTACCTTCTGGACCGGCATGGAATACACCCGACCGGGAAGAAACTCAGGGCCATCAAGGAAGCCCCCACACCAACCAACAAGGCGGAGCTACAAGCATTTCTGGGGTTACTTAACTTTTACAATGTTTTCCTACCCCAAAAGGCGACCGCGGCGGAACCCCTACACCGGCTACTCGATAAGGCGGCCACCTGGACCTGGGGGAAGCGGGAAGAGACTGCGTTCCAACGAACCAAGGACTTGCTAACATCAGACGCGGTTTTGATTCAGTACAGCGAAACCCTCCCGCTCTCAGTAACATGCGACGCCTCACCCTTCGGTATAGGAGCAGTCCTCAGCCACACCCTACCCGACGGGACGGAAGCACCCATCGCCTTCTTCTCCCGGACACTAGCAAAACTGGAAAGAAACTACAGTCAACTAGACAAAGAAGCCCTCGCCATCGTCGCCGGAGTTAAAAGGTTCCACGAATACCTTTACGGCAGGAACTTCTCAATCATAACGGACCACAAGCCCCTGCTCGGAATACTCGCAGGGAACAAGGCCACCCCGAACATCCTATCGCCCCGGATGACAAGGTGGTCCGAATTCCTTGCAGCATACTCCTACGAGCTGTCACACCGACCCGGTAAGGCCATCCTACACGCAGACGCACTAAGCCGGGCACCGCTACCGGACGTAGATGACGACCCGGCACCCACAACGACGACCCTACAGATCGAGACCATGCCGTGCCCGCTCTTAACCGCGCCAGACATTGCCCATGAAACAAATAAAGACAAACGGCTGGCGCGGGTACTGAGCTGGGTAGAGCGGGGATGGCCAGAAGTTGAAGGTAACGAATATTTCAAACCCTTCAGAAACCGCCAAACTGAGCTGTTCTCACAAAAGGGCTGCATTCTCTGGGGCGACCGGGTGGTCATACCGGAAACACTGCGAGACAGAGTGTTGGCATTGCTGCACGAGGGACACCCAGGGGTCGTCAAGATGAAAGCCCTGGCCAGGAGCTATGCTTGGTGGCCGGGGATGGACAAACAAATAGAAACTTGGGTCGCCAGGTGCAGCAAGTGCCAAGAGTCAAGAGCCAACCCCCCCGCCGCCCCGATCCGGGAGTGGGAAACCCCGAGAGGACCATGGTCGCGATTGCACATAGACTTCGCCGGACCAACCAAGGGGTATACATTCCTCATCACCGTAGACGCTTACTCCAACTGGTTGGAAGTAAGCACCATGAGAACAACAACGACTGAGGCGGTCATCGACAAGCTCAACAGACTCTTCGCAACGCACGGGTTACCGGACGTCATAGTGTCGGACAACGGGCCCCAGTTCACGGCAATACTGTTTGAGAAATACCTGGCCGAACGGGGCATCAGACACGCCCTAACCTCGACGGCTCACCCGGCGGCGAATGGTAGGGCGGAACGAATGGTCCAATACACAAAAAAGGCCATTCAGAAAATCGAAACCGGCGACATCCAGGAAAAAATAAACAAACTACTGTTTATACAACACATCACGCCAAGCACAACAACGAACAAGAGCCCAGCGGAACTGCTGATGGGGAGGAAACTAAGATCCCCATTAGACCGCCTACACCCCACCTACAACCCAGAGAAACCCCCGGACTCCTCCAGCCGGTACCGGACATTCAACATCGGGGATGCCGTCTACGCGAAAAACTTCACGGGAGACCCCCTCTGGGTACCCGCACAAATAACGCAGGTAACTGGACCCCGATCATACAGACTACAAACAACAGACGGAAGGAGCTGGAAGCGGCACATCGACCAGCTACGGTCCAGACTAGCCCACAACACCCCCATCGACCCAGCAACAACGGCGGCCCAAGAAAGCAGAGAGGGAGGGGAAGCCTCAACCACCAACCCAGAAACCAACAAAAGACCGGAACCAACCGGGACACACACCCCAGCGCAAGCCGGACACCACCCACCAGATGACAGCAACGACCAAGCAAACCAACCAGACTCACCTACAGACCTCGACGCGTCGCAGACGGGTTCTTCACCTGGGAGGTGCAGCCAAGCCAGCTCAACCAGCCCGGAAAAACCGAGCGGGAGCAACAGAAACCACAACTCGACCGGCCCAGGAGACCCGGACGGGAGTTGCGGCGCCAGGCCCGGCTCACCTCACCAGGCGGTTCCATCGACGGAGTGGAGAGCGACGCGGAGCCCGTCCGAACCGGCCAGCGACCTCACACAGACTGAACCGCGCAAGTCGACCAGGCAAACTCGAAGCCCCGCCTACCTGCGCAACTACGTCACGACGCGGCGTCAGACGAAACCATGAGGGGAGGGGTGTTCTGTATTAGCATTCTTGGAAAACCCGCACCCTGATTGGCCCACCTGAACTGAAGCCCGATTGGCTGACTGACTGGCCGGGATTGGAGCGCTAGGAACTACCGCGATTGGCCGAGCCGATCGCGGGAAATTTGAAGCGCTGCCATTGGCCGCCGAGCCGCCGGCCGGCTGTATAAAGCCAAGCGGTTTTACACAGTTGCTTTTGTCCATAACCAGAGCTGAATAAAAAGAGCTGAATGTTCACTAAGTGTCTCGCCTCTTTTGTGACCCGATCCCGGATCTAACAAGTCCAATATTCATAATCACTCTGTGTTTATCTATCTATCTATCTGTCTGTCTCTCTGTCTATTATCTATCTATCTGTCTGTCTGTCTATTATCTATCTATCTATCTATCTATCTATCTATCTATCTATCTATCTATCTATCGTCTATCTATCTATCTATCTATCTCTATCATCTATCTGTATCTCTCTCTCTATGTCTGTCTATGTGTATCTCTTTGTCTATCTGTTTGTCTGTCTGTCTATCTATCTATCTATCTATCTATCTATCTATCATCTCTATTAGATTTCAACATCAAACATTAAAACACAAATTAAAGGAATAGAGAAAGAGAATAATAAAACAAATTTAAAGTGTCAAAAATTACATCAAGCAAATTGAATAAAAGTGACTTCTGACTTTCTTTCAGTGCAGAGGTATTAATAACAAGTGTACTTGATGGTTCCTTGATTGACTGTTGTCTTCTGTTATTTGCCAAGTTCTAGGAGCTCCATAGTTTCTCCTTGAACTACAAATATTCTATTGGAACGTAAAATTCTTTGATACCATCCAATCATTTCTTTACTCCAGTGAAGGGACACTTCTATACCCCAATCACACAATACCTAAATTTCAAATTTATATTTAAATTAAGGTAACAAACATTTCTGGGTCCTCCATATGTCTGTAGATACTTAATGAATATCTCCAATAAGATCATATCAAGAATGTCAGATACAAGTTTCTATCCATCCATCCATCCATCTGGGGCAATCTAAAATAAATATAGACCATTTAACATAGAATAAGAGAGTTGGAAGGTGCCTTGGAGATCATCTAGTCCAACCCCCTGCTCGAGCAGGAGAGTCTATTCCAAATATTAGCCTCTACCTAGGATCGAACTCACAGCCTCCTGATTGTGAGCCGAGAGCTCCACCTCTAGGCCATTACAAATGCAGGACATGTCAATCCTTATTACTTACTTCTCATCTAAACCTGCTTGGACTGTACAGTACTCCTCTGGACATATGACCACATGACAACCTGATCCGATTGGACCATTCGAAAGTCACCCTCCAGGTCAGCTCTGGCAAGTGGTCCAGAAGTGTCCATCAGTTTATACATATGTATTCATCTCTGGGTGTCACAGCTGTCACGCCGGGTGTTTTACAATTTTGTTTGTTTACCTCAGTTCTTTGATATATTTATGGTTTTGCTGGTTCCAGCAACTTTAGCCAGGGCTAAGAAAGATCCGATCAAATGGGATGCTTTGCCATACAGAAAGGACCTCTATGGGCCAATCTGATTCTAATTGTAATGATTAAAGCAGTTATATCTCTGCCTATTTAGCTAATGATAGGGCATTTAATGTTCCAAAATTTCCCTTCTCTCTGTGGCTGGGATCTCTCTCTCTCTCTCTCTCCTTCCCTCCCCCCCTGTCCCTCCTTCATTCTCATCCTCCCTCCCTCCCTCTGTCTTTCTTTGTCTCTCTCTATCTCTCCCTCTCTCCGTCTCTCTCAATCTGTCTCTCTCTCCTCCCTCCATTTATCTCCCTCTCTCTCTCTGCCCCTCTCTCTTCCTCTCCCTCTCTCCCCCTCTCCCTCCCTCCCCCTGTCTCTCTTTGTCTCTCTCTGTCTGTCTCTCCCTTCCTCTCCTTCTCCCACCTTCCCTCTCCCTCTCTCCCTCCATCTCTCAGAGCCTAACACCCTCCCTCCATCTCTCTCCCTCTCTCTCCTTCTCCCTCTCTCTCCCTCCCTCTGCCCCTCTCCATCTCTCTCCATCTGCCTCTCCCTCGTCCCTCTCTCCTGCTCTTCCTCGCACCCCCTTCCTCTCCCCCTCCCTCTGTCTCTCTCCGTCTGTCTCTCTCTCTCCCTCCCCTCCCTCCAACTCTCTCTGTCTCTCCCTCCCTCCCCCTTCCCCTCCCTCTCTCTGCTCACCTTGGGGAAAAATTCCCAGCTACTCTACAATTGATTTGATTTTAATCTACCAGCCATCTTAAAGCAGTTTTAAACTAATCCCCATTTTCTTGGCGTTCGAGCTCAATAAACATGAATTAAATTATTTACACAAGGGATATATGGTTTGGCAATCATAGCACAGGCTGAACAAGCAGCATTTTTTTTTAAAAAAAAAAAACAGTTTATAGGCAGCCCTTGGAGGTTAACCTGAGTGAGGAAGAAGATCTCGTGGAATGAAGCTGGAAGCATGTTGAGATGTTCTCAGTGGTTTCTTGATGGAATCTTCTAATGAGAAACAGGACAATTGGCCCAATCAGGCCCCTGTTATTAAAACTCTTCTGGGAATTGAACCAGCAGCCTCTGGGTTTTCTGTGCTGGTGATCACCGTTGGTCTGGGTGAAGCAGGAGGGAAGAATCAACCCAGACTTAAGGAAAGAAAGAGAAGTTTGAGGCTCACAAGGTAATAATTCTTTGGCCCAACTCGTTTGGAAGAAAACCATCCTTGCAACTACTGTAAAGCCCTGTTGACTGTGCTTTTACGGATGCTTTTGGGAATAAGTTATTTTTGGGAAGTATTTCAGTTGTGTATTTGTGGTACAAAGAAATGGGGAGATAGTGTCCATGGCCAGTCATGAAATCCCGCCTAGTCTTCTACTCTATATTCCCTTAAATTGTGTTTTCGAGACTTCACACAAATAATCAGCATTCTGGGCCCATTGAACAATTTAAGTTCTCCTTGGGCTGTTTTGATCCCGTTCCTCCTCTTCCTCCTTAGCCCCTCTCTTTCTCTTCCTCTTCTTTCTTCCCCTCTCCTCTTCCTAGTGTCAGCTTTGATGGTTAAGACAGAACAGATTAACAGAGTTGGAAGAGACCTTGTAGGTAATCTTGTCCAACCCCCCGCCCAAGCAAAAGAACATGCACCATTTCTGACAAATGGCAGTCCAGTTTCTTCTTGTATCAAACCATCCTGTTTTTTCATGGCCTGGTTTTTTTCTTCTTCTTCTTCTTCTTCTTCTTCTTCTTCTTCTTCTT